AAAGGTGCTTCAAACATTGACACTCCAACTGGCGGCCCACGGGCCACATCCAGCCCGCAAAGCCTTTTTTTTTGTGGCGAGCGAAGTATATTAGTTGTAGATGTTTTGAGGACAATTTTCGTAAAAAATCTATATGGGTTTAAAATACTTTTCTTTCGTTAAAAAAACCCTTAATTTCTTCGTTCCTGTGACATTTAACATACCAACGGAGTAAAAAAAATGTTTTTCTCAGGTTAAAATCTACTTCTTATTTTAATTTGTAATTCAATACTTTTGTTTTGTACAACTTGATAAAACTCTGACAGTAATAATTAATGTTCCTTCAAACATAAAAGAGTCCTATATAAAATTTTGATAAAGTTGCGGCCCTCCATTTGACTGGCGTTTTTAATTGCGGCCCCCAGCCTCATGTAAGTTGGAAATCCCTGGTTTAGAATAACATTCCGAAAGAGCCAGGTGGTCAGGTTAACAAGGTTTTGCTCTCTTTTAGGATAAAGGATAAAAGAGGTTCTTAATAAACAGGTGGTAACTTGACAGGTTCCACTGTACTACTTTTTCAAAAAACTCTATTTTAATATCATTAGAAGAAATCACTTTCGTTCGTTAAAAGGAAAAAACCTTCGCAGACCTAGAGAATTTCTTTATTATTTATTTATACATCCAGACACATCTAAAATTACTTTCCGATAATCTTTTACATTTATCACTCTGAAAATGTTTTTTCTTTAGCCGTTAATAATTTTTTTTCTGTAATAAAATTTTCGTAAGTAAAAGTATTGCTTTTATGAAAATATTTTCAACTAGTCTTAAAAAGTCATCTATTTTTTCTTTCAAATTTTCATTTTTTTTTTAAATTAAAAAAAAATGTCTTTCCTTTTTTCACCTTTAAGTTATCAACAATGTTTGAGGCTTTAGATGTAACGATTATGTATTAGTGACAACCAGATGTTGTTTCTCACGGATGGAACAATATTAGATAAAAACAATGTAAGCTGCCTAAAATTACACCACACCATTCGAGTTTTCAGCTGTGCAACTTCAAATTACTATTGAAGAGGTAAAGTATAAATATTTTTTATTTGTTGATAAAATCAAATGATTCTTCTCTCTGGGTCCCCTTAATGGTGATTATTTAACAAAATTTCTGTTGTTGTCTATAAATCTATTATAATAATATCGATTATTAAATTAATAAAAACTTTTTAGTTTACTACCGCTTCATTTCTATAATTAAAATATAAGATATTTTAAACAATTATAGATGCATATCAATTTCCAAGATTCAAAGTAGAAATTTTATTTAGTATTTTAAGTGAAAGTAAATTTTATGATTTGAAATGTTTCAGCATTTGAAATTTCATGGTTTGCTTTTGGTTCACCTGAACTCACTTTTTCTATACTTTAAATTACTTATGTAGGTGGAAGAGAATTTGCCATGAAGGATTTCTCTCGCATTATAGCGTCCTATTAAGAGGCATAGTCCCGAGTAATGATCTCTAAATTGATATAATTTCCAGTTTTATCTATAAGTAAATTAAATGTTTGAACGAATTACATGGTTTTTCAGCACTCGTGAAACAGGAATTTGTTATCTATTATCTATAGTCCAGATAATTTTTGGCAAGATTATATCTATAGTTTAAAACCATCGCATTGCTTCAAGCGTAAGACATTTAAACTATGACTTTTCTATTTACCTTGGCGACAAAGCTTCAAAAAACAGCATTAAGGGGTCCTAACATTTTCATACTATAAAATTTGCTATTTTTCATATCGTATATCATATGTTCATATATCTTGTTCATATATAAAATTTGCAGATATTTAAATGTCATAAAATCTGGATTAGACCAGAATCCAATGAGCTGTTTGTACAAGCTCATCTGCTCTAAACAGTTTCTTAATTAGTTTGCTAAGCTCCCAACAACTGAGAATCAAATTGGTGCATTGTGTTATTTATGATCACAGCCGCAAAGATGCAGCTGTGTTTTTCTCTTGAGCTAGAACTCTAACTTTTACCATGCTCCAGCAATTTCATCGTATCCTATAGACATTCAAAAAGCCTGACGCATTGTTACTGAATTGACATTTAGCCAAGTTTCTGTGCGAAGACTATACGTGACATTAAAATACATTTTTAATAATTTGAAGGAGGATTTATTAAATTTAATTATTTTCATTAGAATGAATAAATAACTTTACTTTGAATTAAGTTTGCATTTTCTGCGTGATCTGATGTTTATGTCATTATTTTTTTAATTTTCCTTTTCATAATAAAAATTTAAAATTAAAAATTTGAAACTCAAAAACGCGTATGAATATATAGTAAAATGGCCGGATCCATAGCAGAGTCAGAACTTTAGCTTCTCTGAGATCGGAGTTAAAACATTAAAAACGTTTCGGCTTCGGGTCCCAGCTTATGATGCATACAGAACGGACCAGAATGAGTATTAGATTTTTTTATTAAAAATAAATATTTTGTAGAACTACTTTTTCACTGTAGCAAAAATAAGAATTGAAGTAATATATCATTGACTTGATTGCTTTTTGGGAGATATAAAATAGACAACTGCACGAGTTTAAGGAATCAGCAAGGTACAACCAATTATAAAGTATAAAATTATCATTATATTTTTAATATATTATGTGTGGGGCCCCTAAAGTTTGGAGGGTATTGGGCAAGTGCCCCTTCTGCCCATGCGATAATCTGGAATCTGGGCCTACCTTGGTGATAGAGCTTCGTAAAACCATGTTAACTTTAACACTTTATCAGGGTTGCAGAAAATGTGCACGGTAATATGGTTCACGGTACTGATGGTATAGTGATTTGTTCTTGAAATGATTTTTTTGGAATGATGCAAGCTATAAAGGCGAATTAAATAAATTTAAAATTTATTTCATATTAAGCAACCAAATTTTTTTTTGTTTAATTAGGACAAAAAATTATGGTTGGTAAAACACCATTTGAGAAATATTTTCTTACGCCACTACTGGGATTGTAAAAGAATTATGGACACGCGCAATGATCTCCAAATCTAATCAGAGGTAAGCAAAAGAAGTGAACGAATTGTCTAATTTCCCATTCACCGTAGAAACAGGTTCATATATTCGCTGTTGAAAATTTCACCTCGCTTTTGGTTGGTAAAAATTCTTCAAGAAAAAAAAAAATTCTGTAGCCCAAATTTGCTGCCCAATGTGTCTACATAAAAGTGCAAATTAATCCTTCTTAAACTTCGTCTCACAATACTATGGTTCAACATGGAAACACAGTTAAATGAAACAAACCAAATTTGCACGGTTAAAATGGTTCACAATACCATTATTATGGTTTATCCTTAAGCTAATTTTTTTCTAAGAGTGTAAAAAGCTGTAAAGGCAAAATATCTAAATGACAGCTTAATTTCATATTGAACAACTCAATAGTTTTTGTCTGATAAGTTTGTTTTTGTTGTACCGACCACAGTGCTGATTTGAAATATCTTCTGAGTTAGAGTCCCCTTGCCATCAGGCTAACCGTGGGAGGTTCTCGTGGTCTTTCTATCCATGTAACGCAAATGCAAGTGAGTTCCGTAAGAAAGTCTTCCACGAAGGCAAATTTATCTCACTACTTGATCCAGGAGTTCCCTTGTCTTCTGGATTGAGTTCAAAATTACAAGACTACGTAGTTGAACATTCGTAATTTTAAACCCGAAAATTGGGTCGGCTGTTCAACGACGGTTATAAAATAAAATAAAATAGTTTTTGCTTTAGGATGTCTACATAAGAGTGCAAATTAGTTCTTCTTAAGCTTGACCTCACACGCAATACTCTGGTTCAACATGGAACATTAAATTTAACATTTTATTGAGCAAATTTGCATGGTAAAATTGGTTTACTGTACCATTATTATGGTTCAATCCTGGAACTATTTTTTTTCCTAAGAATGTAAGAAGCAATAAAGGCAGAGTATCTAAATAAAAACTTAATTTCATATTGTACACTCAATAGTTTTTGTTCAATTAAGAGAAAAAATTTCGAACGTCGAAACTTCCTCAAGAAAAATTTGCTGCAAACTAAATTCGCTGTCAAGCATGTTTACATAAAAGTGCAAATTAGTTCTCCTTAAACTTGGCCACACACACAATACTATAGTTCAACATGGAAACATGGTTAAATTTAACACCTTAATAAGCAAATTTGCATGGTAAAAATGGTTCACGATACCATTATTATGGTTCAGCCTTGACCTAATTTTTTTTCTAACAGTGTGGGAAGCTATAAAGGTAGAATATCTAAATGAAAACTTAATTTCATATTGAACAACTCAATAATTTTTGTTTAATTAGGAGAAAATATTTCGAACGTCGAAACTTCCTCAAGAAAAATTTGCTGCAACCTAAAATCGCTATCGAGGATGTCTACATAAAAGTGCAATTTAGTTCTTCTTAAACTTGACCTCACACACAATACTATGGTTTAACATGGAAACACGGTTAAATTTAACACCTTAATAAGCAAATTTGTACGATAATATGGTTCGCGGTACCGGAATTATGGTTTATTCTTGCATCGGTTTATTAAAGGTGAGGGAATAAAGTACATTAGAATTTCGCTTCATATTAAACAAAACAAAATTTTTGGTATAATTACTAGAAAAACGTTTGGAAGGTAACACACACATTTGAAAATTTTTTGGGTTCATAACTATTGGGATAGTAGGGGTTAAGATGCATGGACACGAGCAAACGATCTCCAATTCTAATCACAGGTAAACAAAAGGAGCGAACGAATTACCTAGTTTCCCAGTGATCGTAGAAACAGGAAGTTTATTTCACTGAAGGAGCAAGTCTTTGATGGCAAATGAACAGGCAGGCCATCGTCCGTGCGAAATAAATAGGATACAAAAATAAAAGAAAGAAAGAAGAAGAAAAAAATTACAAAAAAAATGTGTACCTGTCATTTCTGCAGACGATTTAACGAGAAGCCATCTTTCTATTTCGGGGGATTATGACTCTTCTTCTCTCGCAATCGGTGGCTCCTCTGTTGCCAGCTGAAGACTCGCTTGTCAACCCCAAAGAGGCTGACCTCTAATAACAAAAAACTTTTTTAAAAAGTATATCGCTTTAGTATATTATCATTACCTATAGCCTTGTCAGCTGAGAGCGGGTCATGTTTAGAAGAAGACCTGATGTTCGAAACGCTGACTGTACGTGATAGTGTTGCTGTTGCTGCAACATGGGTGGTGGTGTCGTTGAGAAAAGGTTGCTTGTTGGACTTTGATAATTGCCCTCCTAATGCAGCAGGTAGTAAAAAAAGAATTTTAATTTTGTCTCCTTTTTTTATTTATTCCGTTTGTAATTTGACCTTTCCAGATGTATGTTGTGTTCGCGGTTTTGAGAATTGCATTTGTTTTGATTGCATTCTTTGTTTGTTGTGTTCTTCGAACTGAACTGAAATTTGGCTTCAGTTGAGCTATTATAAATGCGAGAAATAAATTTGTTTAATAAAAAGTATATTAGTTCAGAGTGTCGATTTTTAAATTTTTCTTTTCTTTCCGTCTATGTTTAGTTTCGTTTCATTCGACGCTTTTCTTTCTTTCGCAATAGAAAATTGAGTTGTTCACTGCATTAATTAATTACTTCTATCACATTAAAACTAGAAAAGGCGAAGAAATATTGCACAATATTTAAAAAAAAAAATTCCTTTTGTAATATAAATTTGTAATAAATAGTTTTGCTACTAAAAAGCTGTTATCTTTACTACTGAGGAGTTTATAATAAACATAAAAAACTATGACTGAACAACTTAAAATAAAGATTGATATTCAAATATTTGGAACTTAAATTTAAGGTATTCCAAAACGCGGAGCTAATCAATTAGTTTAATGAATAGCTTAATTGTTTATCACATTTCAATTTGTTAAAAATTTGTTTTGTTCTTCTTTTCCATAAAATAATAATTATTAAAAATTGAGTTTATAGAAGAAGATTGGTATTTTTTTTCATTTTTAGGAGTTTTTCCCCCTTTAATTACGTTATTATCAACTTGCTGTAGAATTCCATGTTTATGAGAAGTTGTATTCTTTTCTTAAAAATAAATAAATAAATTAAAGATTTTTTTAAGTATTGAAAAAATTCAAATTGTTATAATTCGATGAAGTTGATTTGTAATTAATTCCATTTATTGGTATATTAATAATTCACCAGAAAGTTTCTGTGAAACACATATTTGGTTCAAAAAATACTATTATCAAAATGATAAAGTAATAAACTAACTTTTATATTTAGGTCCACACTAAAATTTTTTTTTGTTTACTGACAAAAACTACTTTGAAACTCTTTATCACATTCTAAGAAGAACAAATATGCAATTGCATTATACTAAAACAATTTTTCATTTTTAAATTTTGCTTTTATGATATAAATAGATTTATTTCTAGACCATAATCAATCACTATTATATTATGCATGTAAATTAGGGACTGATCATGAAAAAAAAATAAAAGAATAATTTTTAAGAAATCTAAAGTTGAGAAAATTTATGTCGTTTGAATAAAGAAAAGTTAAGGTGCTCCAATTAATTAACTTTTAAAATTAATGGAGTGCCCGCCGTTTATTAAAATCACATTCGTTTTATGCTCTTTTGATTTTATTAAGCGGCTGATTTTATTAAGAGGCGATTCAACATTTGAAAAAAAAAACACATTTTTACGATATATTCTAAATGCACACACTTTAAAANTTGATTTGTAATTAATTCCATTTATTGGTATTTTAATAATTCGAAGTTTTTGTGAAACACATATTAGGTTCAAAAAATATTATTATCAAAACGATAAACTAATTTTTATATTTAGGTTAACACTAAAAATATTTTTTTGTTTACAGACAAAAACTATTTTGAAACTCTTCATCACATTCTAAGAAGAACAAATATGCAATTACGTTATACTAAAACAATTTTTCATTTTTTGAATTTTATTTTTATGATATAAATAGATTTCTTTCTGGACCATAATCAATCACTATTATGTTATGCCTGTAAATTATCATGTGACTGATCATGTAAAAATAAAAGAATAATTTTTAAGAAATCTAAAGTTGAGAAAATTTATGTCGTTTGAATAAAAGAAAGTTAAGGTGCTCCCATTAATTAACGTTGAAAATTAATGGTATATGTTTCAGAACATTAATGAACCAATGAATCATTTTTCCAAATATTTTATTTATTATTAAAAGTATTTCTAAAAGGGTTCACAAACAAAATCTTGAAGTTTGGATTCTTACTTAGATATAAAAATGTAAACATCGATAAAAAAAACGGTTGCATTTCAAAATAGTTCTAGGATGAACACGGCCTGGAAAAGTAATAAAGGAATTTCAAGAAAGCAAGGGTATTTTATCTGATTTCTATTAACTAAAGAATATTTATAATTCAAAAGAAATATATTTAAATATTGAAACTGATAATCTGAATTCCTTAAATTAAAATGAAGTTAAAACCTATAAATTTTCCGATTGTTTTATGAAGCATTTTCAACCATTTTTTAAAGTTTTTTTCGCCAGACTGTGGTCATCTCGAGTTTCTTAATTTAGAAAAATAGATAACATTCATGTCGATAAAATTGACTACCAACATTCTGAATAATCAAAGAAATGTATATAATTTAATAAGCAGAATATATTAAGCAGCTATTTTAATGTATGTAAATTTTTTTAAGACTATTCGTTGGGAGAAAAACAGCAGATTTTACGTGCTATTTTTTCATGAATTGCAACGAAAAACAGCCTTTGAAAGAGTGCTTTGTTTGATGGACCAACATAATCTTGATGGTAGTCATCAATAATTCCATTATGAACCATTACGTTTTTGATGGTAACTAATATAAGTAACCATCACCCCAATGTAGGAATTCGAACTAATTTATGATGGTCCAACATAAGAATATGAACTTGTTTCGATGGTTTTTTCATGACGAACCATCAGAAATTTCCATCATAGTTTCTTGGAAATCAAATGTTGCAACGATCATGAACAACCATCACCGTAGGAATTCGGACTGACTTATGATGGTTCAACTTAAAATAATGAATTGTTTTGATTGTATATTCCTGAGAATGAACAAGAATTTCCATTAAACCACCATCGAAATGTATAGTTGAAACCATCATTGACCACCACGGATCGTTGGTCCATGAGAATCAAACTTCTCCTGATGGTTAAACATCATAGTATTAAAGTAGCATTTTCTATCATTGAATGATGAAAATTTGTTGCCATATGAAAAACTATGAACGCCTAAATGAAAATTTTGGGTGATGGTGGCCATCAAATGATGTTCGACCGTCGTGAATCGTACTGAAACCAAAATAAACTGCGAAAATATTTTGATGGAAGCATCAAGAATTCTGACTTGGGTACCCATGTATGGATACTCAAGTACGGCCGTTTAACATCTCGAACTTAGAAATTAGTAGATCAAATTTATTTTTTCCTTGTTTAGTGTTCGAATAAAATTTGGAGTGAAAACGATTATTAAAGTTATTATATTTAATATTTTTTTTATTGTTGTTGTAGTTGTAGTTAATTTACGTTGCACTAGAGCTGCACAATGGGCTATTGGCGACGGTTTGGGAAACATTCTCTGAGGATGATCCGAAGACAAGCCATCACAATTTTGATCCTCTGCAGGGGATGGCACCCATGCTTCGGTAACCCAACGGTAGAACAGTTTAACGAGGACCAATACCGCACATCCTTGGTCCCTACGCAGACTGATCCAAGTGGTCACCCATCCGCACACTGACAGCAGCCAGAGATGCTTGACATCGGTGATCTGCTGGGAACCGTGTCTTAACGATCAGTCCACTGCGTGACTATTTTTTTTAAATTAAACATAAGGATTTGAATTATAATATAATATAGGTTTTGAGATGAATTTTTAATTTTTATTGGCAAAAAGCTAATTAGTTTTATATTTTCAGCAAACTATATCGAATTTTCTCGGATAAATGTCAGTCGAAACTCCTTAATTTTTGTTTTTATTGAGCTATATAGAATTATTCTATTCAAATTCCACCTTATCAAAATCACATCTAAAAAAATCATCGGCATCTCCCTTAATTAAAATTTTTTTTCAACGTAATATTTAATTTATCTAGCAACCACGCCGCCTGACATTTCTTTAGATATGAATTAATCTGCCCCTTACGCAATTTGCAGATTCGTGGTTTCGACGTGGTACCACACGGTATACAACAGATCTCCATTAACTCATTGGCATGGATGTTTTTGGTCTAAGGAATAATCCTGAACGGCTGAAAATGGAGTCACTTTCCCAACAAACAAATTCCCAGGGAACAATGAAAGAAAATATGGGCCCTAAGCCCACCGAATTCACCGGGCCCCAAAATGAGTTATTTTGAAATTAAATTAACCTACAGATGAGTATAGTCAAAAAATAGAAGAGGGTGAAAGCCTGCATGCTTTCTCTTGAGTCGCGATGGCTCTGGTGATAGAGCGTTTGCCTCTCAATGAACCGACCCAGGTTCGGATCCCAATGGTGGCTTGTTAATACGAATTCTATTTCTGGTTCACGCCATTCACAGGGCTATCGTAAAAATCCTTAGTGGTAAACGGATCATAGGTTAGAATCCGTTTGCAGTCTGGCTAACCGTGGGAGGTTTCCGTAGTATTGCTCTTCATGTAACGCAAATGTGGGTTTCCATCAATTAGCCCTCCAACAAGGCTAGTTTGTCTCAATGCTGTATTCAGAAGTTTCCTTGTCTTCTGGGTTGGGTTCAAAATTACAAGGATACTGAAATGAACATTGAGACTCGTAAATTCAGAATCGGGCCAGCTGTTATAAAATAAAATAAAAGTTTTCTCTTAGGTTTTTTTTTCTTCCTATTTTATGATTTTTTAAAAAAAAAATGTTCAGTTAGAGAAATATTTTTTGAAATTTTGAAATCAGGCAATTGAAAGTTATTTTTCTAAGCTAAATTTTTCAGACCTACATATTAAGGTTAAATAGAAATAAGTAATTTAAAAAAGAATATTTTTTTTTTTTTATAATTTCCGGTATTTTTCAGAAATTATTAATTCCATACCCTGATCCGCCCGCTATTAAACTTATCTATTGATTTTATAATTAAAATATATGGGCGTGACTTCAGTTCTAAAATATCAATTACTGACTCTTTCCATAAGCATTGTTATTGAGCTCGATAGTGATGCGTCAATATTTGATAACGTTTTTATACCATGGTTTAAGTGTTAACTTATAAATGCTAAGAGTTTTTAGATAATTTTTGTATCTGTCTTCTGAGTATTTACCCTATTTTACGAAATTATAAAGAAAATTTATTCCATAAAATGATTAATCCTGGCTTCTTTTCTATTATCATAAAGGGGAATAATGGTCCGAATTCTAGGTGTTCTGTTTTTTTTTTTCTTCACGCACGTTTATATCTGCCATTGAACGCAGGAACTCTAAAATAAAACTAGTTCAACTGTCATAACAGTAGTCCAGTCCAAACTGTAGATTTTTTAAAGCTTAATAAAAGGCGAAGTAAAAGAAATCGAACTAGCAATTTTCCTTACTTCCAAGTTTTCTCGGGATAATAATTAATTTCATTATTTACGAGCTCGAGATAACTCAGAACAATCAAGAAAACGTCTATGGAATGCCCTTTGGAGTGAAATTGTTCTATTACAATGTAATAGTTTCTTCACTTTAAGCAAAAATAGTTTAATATTTCTGATAAAAATTTTAATAAGATATTCTCCAAAAAATTTTAAAATTTTGTGTTGAGTACCAAAAAATTCATATTTTTTTTTTAATAATGAATGAAACAATAAGCAAAACCAGTTTATTTGTAGGATTAAACTGAATATAGTCCTTAATTACCGCTTCTTAACTTCTTTCACCTTTTCCTTTCGTACCACAAATAAACTGGTCTTAATGCTTATATAAAACACTGTTATTGATGGAGGGTGCCCACCATCAATAACAGTGCCCACCATCACCCACATAGCCATTACAAATTCTGACTCGATAATGATGAGTCAGAATTTGATAACATTTTTCACCCCCTCATTTAAATGTCTATTTCCTAATGGATTGTATAACTTTTCCGCTTCATTAAGGACGCTATAAAGATATTTTATCTCTTCTTCCACGAATTAAAGGCTGTAATTATACAGAACACACTATATTACATTTGAAATATTTTTCATGAATAACACGATTAAAGTTTCTTAATTTTCATGCAATATTTTTCCTCTTCTCAGAAGCTAGGGACGTGGCGGAATGCTGCAGCTGCACAAGTTGACGTTTAAAGTGATCACATGGACAGTGGTCATCCACTTAACCTTCACGGGAGCCAAATGCTGGGTCACTTCACAAAGAATAGGTAAGGCTTGTGGTTGGTTACTTTTTTCGAAACAATTTCTGAACTTTAAGCTATGTAAACTACACCGAAGAGCCATTACATTATGATCACCCTCCATGTATAACAATGGGCTCGCCCAGGTTTTCATGGTTTCTCGCCCAGGAACAATGCTTTCATGGGGCACATTAGGACTCATAATGCTCATAGAACAATCCCTGACGTCTGTAAGCTACTTGAACATAGTTGCAGATTAGGTTCACCCATTCATGGCAACAGTTTTTCCTGCGGGGGATGGTGTTTACCAACAGGATAGTGCACCATCTCAGAAGGGTCGAATCGTCATGGATTGGTTCGATGAACATTCCAGTGACTTTCAAGTCATGTCTTGGCTCCCAAATTCACCTGACCTTAATCCAATAGAGCATTTGTGGTCCTACTTGGAAAACCAAATTCGTGCTGCCACGGTACGTCCTCCCAATGTGAGGGGATTGCAGGACCAGTTGGTGAGCGCTTGGTACCAGATACCTCAGACTACCTATCAGCACCTTGTGGAACCAATGCTATTGCGGGTGCTAGCAGTTTCGAGGTCTAAAGGTGGTCCTACTTGTTATTAGCAGGGTGGTCATAATGTAATGGCTCTTCGGTATATATGATTTAAAATGGCGAATTGAAAAATTTGAACAAAATCGGTCAAATTCTTTCTGAGGCAATTTTGTATTTTATTATTTAAAATTGCATAGTTTAAAAAGATTTAAAAACTGATGCACCTTACTATTCAATTTCTTTTCTACTGATCTGTAAACTAGATTTCTGAATTTTAAGTAAACAAAAAAATATAATAAATAAACAAAAATTAAACGTCGTTCAACAGGTGAAAATATCTTTATCGACAACTTAAGTAATATTTTATAGGATCTCAAAGGTTCCACATTGCAAGAGTAAATTCTATCTAATATAAATGCATAATAAACTTAATAAAAAAAATAAAAAATAAAAAAAATATTGAACTGCAACAGTCGCCATAGCAACGAATACAATGTCAACGTACATAGTGAACATAGACCATTTTTTCAAATGAATTTTTTTAAACTGTTTTTTCACTTTCTAAGTGTATATTGAATCCTTGCATACAAAGTTTCACAAAATTATAAACTATGAAATTTTACACGACGAAATCTAAAATTTGAAAAGAAAATCGTTAGATAAGTTTTGAGTAAAAAAAAAAAAAGTTCAAAGACTGTAAAATTAAAATTTTATTTTTCAAAACATATTCAACAGATTTTGTTTAAATATTTCAATTCATGAACTACGGTTTAAAAACGTTCTTTTCTCGTATTTTCATTTCATTTCAAACAAATTAGAACGCGGTGGAAATACTCACTAATATTTTGTTAAAATATAGATATGTGATAAAATTTAATATTTGCAATCTTTGAAAATGTTAAAATATAAATCAATGGTTTTACAAAACTGGCAAAAGTTAGGAGTTCGGCGATTGTTTAGTTAATTAAGTTTAAATAAAATCAAAAATTAGTAAACTTTATAGTTTAGTAACACATGAAAAGAGAACACATGAATAGAAAGGAAAATAGAAAGCATGTAATGTAATACATGAAAAGAGAAATAATAGAAAATAAAGCTGATTAGGTTAATTTTCCAAATTTTCTAGGGTAATTCGGTAGTAAAATGAATATGAGATTGCATTTGCTTGTAAATGAAATATATACGAAACATAAAATATATTTAGTATTTTGTGAAAGCTTAATCAAATAATATATGAAATTATGTTACATTTATATGTGTGTTTAAATTGTTTAGATGTAGTGGTGATTAAAAGAATTTTAAATTAAATTTATAAATGTAAAGAATAAATTGAAAGCATACTACAGCGTGTAATTTAAAAATAAAACTATGCGTAAAAGTTGGCAATTATGCATTGGTTATTGAAAAAATTCGTCGGTGTTTCGAAGCCGAATAAAATATGATACATATCATAAAAAAATTATTCATTAGTTACATATTTTATATATCTGCCTCTCAACAATTTACAAATTTTTGTATAGAAATCAGAATTTTATTCTTCACAAAAGGCTCGTAGAACGGCTGTTACGATTCCTACAAGAATAATGAATGATCTTTTTTTAGCCATTTATTTTGCTGAGAAGAAATTGTTGTCTCCTTAAAATTGAGGTCTGCTTAACCAGTTTGTTTTGGACGTTTTTTTCCTCTCTCTCTATTTTTTTAATTCTTTTTTTTAAAAAAAGGAGGTAACACGGGTATTAGATTAAATTCGCGTATGCAAATTCGTAGATGCGAACGAGAACCTGATTGGTGAAATACATTTATCCGCGAAAAATTCGCCAGTCATGTGCCATTTTTTTCGCATGCCGTGTGAGTGCAACAGGAGCAAGATAGCTCTGTTTACTGCAATATAAACATTAAAGTAAAATTAAGAGGCCGGTAACTGAAAAGAATAGTCCATTGGCAAAAACAAATAAGTGCGTAACTTTTTTCATGTAGGTGGAAGCAACTTTTTACATCTATTCGCGAATAGATTAACGTTCTTAGATTTTGCATTGCCTGTTAAATTATTTCCTGCTTTGGAAATGTTTAAAATAAAACTTTTGTGCATCTTTGTACAAACCTTATACAAAAAGTGCGTTGAAACGTGGCGTTTCCCAGTGTTAGCTAACATTTTAGCTTTAAAAAAATCTCATGTATTAACATTTATCAGATGGAAATAGGGTCATTTATGTTCTTAATTTATTACGGTGGTTCTAAATTTCTTGTTCCTCCAAAAAAATTCTAAGAATTAAATAACTAAGTTACCAGTAAAAGAACATGCTTCTAAAATGAGTACGGCCTAATGCATTAGATTTAATTTTAGATAAGATTTTTTACCCTTTCCAGGGCAGAAAAATCTTATCTAAAATTAAATCTTTGTGCATCTTTGTACTAACTTTATACAAAAAGTGCGCTGAAACGTGGCATTTCCCAGTGTTAGCTAACATTTTAACTCAAAAAAATTACTTGTGTTAACATTTATCAGATAGAAATAAGGTCATTTATGTTTTTAACTTATTACGGTGGTTCTAAATTTCTTGTTCCTCCAAAAAAATTCTCAGAATTAAATAACTAAGTTAACAATAAAAGAACATGCTTCTAAAATGAGTACACCTAATGCATCAACTCTTTCCTGTGCAGAAAATTTTGATTCAAAATTTTAGACAAATAGCATATTAGAAAGTGTGATAGTAGAAGGTGAATTCAAAGCAAAGAGATATATTGAACTTCATACTGTTTAAAAAAACAGTGGTCGCTAAAAACTACGGACGTTTAGAAGTGAATAGTTGTAAATTTTTAGTGGTTTGTAATATTTTAAGAATAAGTGTTGCTAGATTGGCAACACTAACGAAAAGAATGAAGCAACAAGATGTGAATAAAATGCCTTAATTTTGATAAACCCATTATAGTGTAGATATCAACATCTAGTCAATTGAATATAATATTTCTCAACAATAATTTGCTGGTCATATTCCTCAGCAATCTCACCAGATTCGCAACCTCGATATACAGGGTTATTCATAATTCCCTCCGGGGTTTTGAAGCGTTATATTAAGAAAACGAATACGGCAAAAAAGAACATATGAAATTATTCCGAAAGTATTCACGTTTTAATTTAAGCTGTTGCCGACAGATGGCAGTAACATGTACCACTGAAGCCAGTTGTAGTAAAGAAAAATGGCGTTTACAGGAGGGAATTATGAATAACCCTGTATTATTATTTGATGCAACAATTCAGACACATTAACGAACTTATTCAATAAAAACTTTTTCAACTAATTCCCTTTTTCAGATGTCGAAGAAAAAACGCAAACACCCAGAGTGATACTGACAGTGAGCTCAATGGCTTCTCATACACCTGAAGGCGTGATCACAGAACGCTTGTTGGAACTGAACTGGTACGATGCACCCCCTGGCATGAATGAGGACCCTACCTCATGGGTAGGCCTCTTCAATCATGATCCTGCAGAGGGCAGCCACGATCCTTTAGAAGTGGTTCCTACAAGAAACAACCCTGAAGGATACTATAGGACAAGAGTTTCATTTCCTAGAATAGAATTTTTTGATAAAAAGCTCAACGATGGTTGCTTAGGGTATTGGATAGGTGAGGATGAATTTTTTAAATGTAACACAGTTTTACAGTAACTGTTGAATTTAACTGTATTGTGCTGTTAAATTTAACTGTACTGTACTGTTAACTTTACTGTTAAATTTAACTGTACTGTAACTACTGTACTGCAACTACTGTACTGTTAACTGTACTGTAATTTAACTGACGTGATTTATCCTCAATGGTAGACGGATCAAGGGTCTATGAGGATAAGCAACAACACAAAAACAAGTATAATAATATTGGATGGCAAGCTTTTTCAAACTTAGGCGTAAAAATAAATCGGAAATAGTAACCTAAAAATCTTATAGCGACTTTTAACCACTAGCGCTGTCTGTGCATACAGGGGATAGAGCGTTCGCCTTCCAATGAGGTGAACCGGGTTCGAATCCATCAATGGCTGGTCGATACGAATCCGCATCCGGCTTGCACCGATCACAGTGCTGACGTGAAATATCCTCAGTGGTAGACGGATCATGGGTTAGAATCCCTTCGCCGTCCCTTAACCGTGGGAGGTCCTCGTAGTCTTCCTCTCCATGTAACGCAAATGCGGGTTAGTTCCATCAAAAAAGTCCTCCACGAAGGCAGATTTCTCCCAATGCTTGATCCAGGAGTTTCCTTATCTTCTGGATTGGGTTCAAAATTAAAAGACTACGAAGTTGAACATTAATAGTCGTAAACCCAAAAATTGGGTCGGCTGTTCAACGATGGTTACAAAATAAAAATAAAAAGTAATGAAACTACTGTAGTCGCTACTTTTTTTGTAGTTCGTAGTTTAGAGGACTACTTTGTTAAAAAGTAGTGTAGTGAGTTGTGTGATACGAAAAAAAAGAAATGGTAGTTTATGGCTACTGTTTTTAGCGTTAATTTTATAAAGAAACAAGATTCTAAAGCAACAAATTTTTTGAATTTGAAGGGTACAAATCTAAAGTTTCTCAATGAACGCTATGAAAATGCCCCAGTGGCTGCAACTGAGCGTTAACAAGAATTAAGTATAACTAACATTTAAACTAGCCATTACGAAGAATAGATAATTTATCACTTTGGTAACACTTTCACATGTGAATTTTCATTCGTGAAACATTGATTTTACTTCAAAAGAAAGGAACACATTTTCGATGTACTTAGTTTCTTAGAAGAAACAAAAGATCACTAAACACTTAACAAAACTGCAAATATTTGATCAACTTTAGCATTTCTTAAACTAAATATTAACTGTCGAGAAATGCATTAAAAGTTGATGGCTAAATATTCGAAATCGAAAAAAAAAATGATTTAGAATAACAAATTAGCTCATGTAAACATGAATAAATATTTCTTTATAATTTCTCATGTTCAATGTAAGTCAATTTTTTTTAATTCAAAACCATTTTGAACATAGGTGTAAATTACGTTCTCTAGCAAAGTTCGCATCCTTGAAGTAGTTACTGAATTTTGAAAGTAGTTAACAGAAAATAGAATAGTTAATAGAATCCAAAAAAAAAATTGCTTTAGCAGTTAGTAACTGTATTAGAATTAAGTAGTTATAGTAAACTATGCAAAGTAATGCAGTTTTTCCGACCACTGACAAATAAAATGCTATTTAATTAAATGTCATGTATTAAAAAAATAATTTGTATTATGTTTCCCATGTTAGAAAACTAAACATTTAATTAATTTCAGGTTATATTAACCTAAATCGAATAGTTGCCAAATCATGCCTAAGAGCCAGACCACGCTGGATGTACGAAATGAAAGACATTATTGGAAACCGAACACTGAAAGAACTTATGCTTCCTGGAACTCACAACGCGGGAAGTTACGAAATTTACAGACCAGACAGAAACACGGTTAAAGTTAAATATCAAATATGTCATGACGAAGATGTATTCAACCAACTAGTCTACGGCAACAGATTTTTAGATTTCAGAGTCATTTTCAAACACGTCGCTGGGAGCAAAGAAAAGTTCTGGATTACACACAGTATTCTAAGAACGAACAATTCCGTCAGAGACGTTCTGACACAGGTCAAACGATTCCTCGATAATACGAACGAAATCGTTATTATCGACTTTCACTTGTTTTACATGGGTTTCATTGATAGCTGGGTAGATGATCGGCACAAGGAACTTATAAATTTGATTGTTGGAATTTTGGGGCCGTACATGATGCCAAACTCATATGGATCTTCCACAACTTTGAATGAAATGTGGAAAAATAACAAACGAGTGTTAGTCGGTTATGCATCCAAGCAAGCGATTGAAAGTAATCTCCTATTTCCTGGGGCATTTCACTTGTGGGGAAATAAAGAAACTCGACCAGAGTTGGAAGACTTCTTGGAAAGGAATATGTGCCATTTTTATCACAGGAACTTGTGGTCAGCAATGGCTGAACTGACGCCAAGTACTTCAGGAGTAATTATTGATAAGTATGGTGGTCTCAGGAATTTAGCTCAAGATGTTAATCGCCACATTACTAAATGGTTTAGAGAAAGGTGGTGGAAGTGTGCCAACGTTGTTTCCACGGATTTCTTCCTCGGTAACAATTTAATCGATGTATCTATTGATGCAAATGCCAAGAAGTTTACAAGAAAATAAAGTTTTATTTATTTGTTGGTTTTAATTATTATTTCATTTCTCTTGTTTTTAATTTGGGAAAATAGGAGAAAAAAATAACATTTAATCCACGGGAATCTAAGACGACGCTTATAGTTCAGGAGAAACGTTTCATGGCAAATTCTGTTTTACCCACATTAGTAACTTAAAATTTAATGCATTCAGAACAATGAATTCAGGAAACACCAAGAGTAAAGTCTGAAGTTTCAAATGCTGAAAATCTAAATCAAAACAAATTATGTTAGGATGACTTAGAATAATTTTGGATAGGATATCGTATTAGGAACATAATATGCTGTATTTGGACGTAATTGCCATAATTTGTTTGCATTTTAATATTTTGCAAACTAAAATTATNCAGTCTACAAGTTTAAAAAAAAAAAAAATTTTTTTTTTGAAATTTTGCGGTTTATTTTTGGCTTACCTGAATTCACTTTTTTCTATACTTTAAAATTTAGAATAGAATTTGCCATGAAGCGTTGCTTTCTCGTTATAATTACGCTGGCCAGCATACAATATTTTGTTTGTGGTTTTTTATATTGAAGAGCTTGAAGGAATGTACTGATATACAACAGATTTTTTTTATTTATTATTATTTTTTTTATCTCAAAGATGATATTTCCACATTAAACTTCGTCTTCGTATTGTTTCCAGATAAAGATTTTGTATTTTCAATGGATAACAGCACAACTTTGGAAGAGAAAGCAAATATCATGTATAAGGCAGTTAAATACCACAATTCTAGGTCTGCTTTGGTTTGAAATAGGAATTTTTTTTAGTAGATTTTTTTCAACAATGTTTTCCTTTTGTAATTAGTTTATAAAATTTACTTTTGTATTCTGTTCTTTTAATTCTTTTCTCTTTTCCTGGACTTCTTACAAAACCTTTGGGGTACAGAGAGAGCAATTTTTAGACATTTGTCGTTGTCGTGTTCTCTAGATAGAAAAGGTTTTGTGCTTTTATGATTTCCGGAGCTGGTTCCCCCTAACGACGTCAGCTTCGGTTGTCCTTTTTATATACTTCATTACTTTTATTGTTATCTTCTTTAAAATTTTCTATTAGCACAACTTTAGAAACATCACATACTTGGAAATCGTACCTTTTTTTTTTGCTGAGGATTTTCCTTGCAGAAATTCCTCAGCGGCCATGTCATATGATTATGTGGCATGTAAAAGATCCCTGTAGTTCCTTATTGGCTCTTGGCATTTCCGGCAAAATTAAATTCCTAGTGCACTTTAGCATCCAAATAGAGTCTCGGTGCTGTCATATAGTGTGGCAGAAACTAGACGTCCAAATTGACATGGCCAACGGTATCTCACCCATTGTGGTGGTCCTGAAAGAGTGGATACCACTTCTGGAGAACGCACTAGGTCTGCTCATCGGGAAGACTGATTGTGCAGCTCATAGGAAATAAAAAACCTTTTTCACTTAAAACGTTCTCCTGAAAAATTAGAAAAAGAGATTTATCCTTATATCACTCCGTGAATCCAAGTCCTTCAATTTAGTTTGACTAGATCTAGATTGCTGATTTCAAACATGCAAACAGTTTCACTCTACCAGTTTTAGTTTTATAGATTTAGCATAGCGAAGTTACTATATTTACTACTTTTACTAACCCGGAAATTTTTATGGTGTCTTCCAGGAACTTTTGAACAGTTTTCAATTATATTTTGTGAATGACTAATTAAAAACCCTCTTTTATTTGTTGTATGCCTGTTTAGGCAGTGGGGGTGAGATTGTTCCTGTTTTTCAGTGGCGCCATCTATGGCCAGGAATTCAACTTCTGCCATGCCATTCACACAACCACAACCCGTTTATAGGGCGAGTCACATTCACACACAAAGGAGAAAGGGCATAGAACACACGGGGAGAAAAAGTAGCATCCATGCCTTGCCCGGGATTCGAACCCAGGACCTTTCTGATGCAAGGACAGTTCCCTGCCCCCTACACAGGCCGGTCGGCAAAAATCCGCTTGAAATCAAAGAAAAAAAGATATCAAAGTCCAGAATCAAGCTGTCATTTATTTTATTTTTATCCTACACAGCTAGTTATGTTGCTAAAATAATAATAATAATAACCACAAAAAGCGAAATAAAATTAATTTTATTATGGTATCGTGAGATACTATATGGTAAAACAGTGGCTGAACCGTGCCCAGAAATCAGTATTCAAAATCCAAGTATCATTGCAACTTCGAGGTCCACCCTTGTGAATTCGAGCCCAATCGAAGCAATCTATCTTCATGTCTCCATCGCAGTCATTGCCCCATTTCTGCATGTATCCTTTTATGGCAGCTTCTGCACAAGGTCTGCTATTCAAACATTTCTCAAAATCTAGAAGAAAAAAAAAGAAACGAATGATTTTTTAAAAAAGGCTACATACATAGAAACTTTGGCTAATTCAAATAAATAGGCATCTTATTTATTCATATTAAGTTTATTTAGCAGATTACGTTGGATTCTTCCAAGGATGACAATGATGTTTTTTTTTTTACATCTGTTATTCTCGAATTGGCAACACGAAGTGATTGATTTCAATTGATTATTCACATTGATAAGTATATATATGGGTCATTCTCACGAAAACTGTCATTTTTCAGTTAATAAAATCCCAAAAAAGTAAAGTGAATAAAAAGCTCTGAAACTTTTTATATTAATAGAAATATGTAATGGCATTATAAAGAAAGTATATATCCTATAAATTATACTTAATATTTAAATTAATTAATTTTTTAAATAATTAATTTATAATTAATTAATTTATAATAATTAATAATTAATTAATTAATTTAATAAATAAATTAATTAATTTAATAAATTAATTTATTAATTTTTTAATTTATTTTTCAAATTAATTAATAAGTAAATTAATTATTTTCACTATTTAAAAAGTGAGGGAATGACACTAATAGTGAGGGAATGATATTTTATTTTAATACATGTTTTTATCTAAGTTACATCTACCTAAAGTTTGAAAATGATAACATACTAAGTATATCTAATATTTATTATAATTTAGTCTTATATATTTAATAGTTTTTACAGGTTTGGGAAATAAAATTGGCTGGCACGATTGAACAAAAAAAAATTTGATAATATACTCATCTTGAATCATTCCCTCACTTCAGCGTCATTCCCTCACTTTATACACTAGTGAGGGAATGACGAATTCAATAAAATTTAAAAATAACAGTTAGGCCTAATTAATTTCTGAAGTCAATCACATACAATTATATTCATACAAGAAAGCAACATATAATTATCCACTTTCTCGATGAAGTTGTATTTTATTTTACTCTAAAAAATGACATGAGGGAATGACAAATGTAAAAAATTTTACCTGGTTTGATTCATTCAAATTTATTCCACAGCAAAGCTTCTTTAAGTTGAAGATGGAAACATACTGCAATTTTGTTCTATCATGCCAGTTGTTAACTTCTGAAGTTTTTATTAAAATATTTTAATTCTAAGAAGATTGCAGGTGATAGGAGCATTGTTGTGAGGGAATGACACGAAACACTGGGGACAAAGTTTAATATAGTGCTGTGTTAATATTTTTATCAGAAATTAAATTTAAAATTGATTTTCTGAATTCTATATTTCAGTATTCTGAAATAAAAAACACGAATTTGTGAAATTTTTTTTTTTATTTCAGAAACTATTTTTTTCTTTTTTTTAAATCAGCAGTGGGGACAAGTGAGGGAATGGCATATTGGTATATTTTAATTACCTAAAATAAATAAAAAATAAAAATTGATAATTTTATTTTTATTCTTTTTTTAGCTTGCATTCTGAAGGACACTTTCCCTGAAATTTTTTTTTTCGTAAGCTGTAAAACAAGCATAAAATATACTGGGGACATGAAAATGACTGTTTTTGTGAGAATGACCCATACATATATATACATAGTAAATGTGTCTAACAGGATCAAAAAGACATTTATATTCTTATTTTTATGCAAATATGAAAAATTCTGCCTACATTAAACAAATAACCGCAAGAAACAGAGGAGGTAAGATATTACTCGATAAAATACTGTATTTTCTTCAAAAATATACAAATTGGGAATAACAGTCGGCACGTTTTAAGCTCTCAAAAACAGACGCCCATTTTCAAGACTTGCCAGACGTGAATGTGAAAGGCTTGTTAACATATGGTTTTGGGATCTGGCAATTCTTGAAAATGGGTGCCTGCTTTTGAGCGCTTAAAATGTGTCGACTGTTATTTCCAATTGGTTTATTTTCGGAACAAATTAAGTTTTTAACCAAGTAAATACTACACATCTTAACTTTCGTGCAGTTGTAACTTCTAATTTAGCAATCCAAGATCTAAAATAATTTACTTAAATCTGAAGTTTCACTCGAATTAACAACCAGAATTAAACATAAAATGCTTGTTAAAATATGGTTTCGGCTTTTGTTGTACTTGAAAAAATGCTAATATGTGTTTTTTTTCTTCTATACTTTAAATTTTAAATTATGAATAGAGATGCGACAGGATTTCCCATAAATGGCTTCTTTCAAAGTATAGTTATTATTGTTGAATTTACTACTTTAATTAATATTGAATTAACTACACATTAAACCCTTTGATACAGAAATTTTATTATGCATATTTTTCATACTTTTAAAATTAATTGTATTAATTTAAGTCCAAATAAGTGAAAAACATTATATTTAGCATTTTAATAATTTATGGTTATGAAATTCAGCACGGAACACTGGTTTCTTTTTCTGCATTAAAGGTACAATCTTTCAAACACGGCTCATTTTTAAGCAATAAATTTTCAAATTTACAATTATTAGCATTAATAGTTACTTAGATCTAAGAGAAACAGGTTTTGAAATTCCGTTAATTTACAAAATCAATTAATAATAAATTTTTGAATATGAATGAATTTTTTTTTAAGCTACTTTTTCGGATTTTATATCTTAGTACATTAAATATAATTCAATACACATAATTCAATATATATAAATATTGATTCAAATATTATAATTCCGATAATCTAACTTTTTTTTTATCAACTGTTAGACTGTTTTTTATAGTTAAAATTATGAAAATGTACATTTTCTTGTAATTAAAGCTTCAGAAAAAAAATTATATAAAAGGGAAACCAGTCTCTATCTGCGTCAAAGGGTTAATTAGTATCATATCAATCTGAAGAGAACGCTTTAATTGAGATCAAAACTTACCAAGTGGATCATCTGGATTTTCTCCAGGTTTTCCTGAATCTTTCCAGTATTCATAAGATATATGGTAAGGCCCGCATAGGTACTGTCCAGGACCTTTGTTAAAGCATTCAGCTGCTTCATCACATTCAGATGCCGCCTGGACGGAAGGAGGGGAATTATTCAGATAATTAAATTTTTAGAATACTTTCTAACAAATATAAAAAAATTATACACATAAATACTAATTCAGTTATTTTATAAATGCATATCCTTTTGATAATTTATTCAATGATATCAATTAGAATGAATTTGTAGTTTTAAAATTTTGCTGTCTTTTCAACTGGCATTTTACTTGAATAATTTCGTGAAAAGTAACCGAAATGTTGCTAACGAATAATAAGTTGGTGATCAAATAGAAATCTAATTACAGGTTCCAAAAATCATAACTAGATTTTTAAAAAAAGTCTTAACTCTCCGAAAACCCTTGTTATCTTACAACGGAACCCCACGGTTCCCCGGAAGACCTTTTGGGAACTGCTGTTCTACAACACCGCTTCCACATATGCTTGCAGTGATCGAGAGGAAGGGAGCTAGTTGAAGAGTCGGTAGTTTAAGTGTTCGACTCCGACTCCAAATTCAGATTTTTCTGAGAGCTCAACTCCAACTCCGACTTATATTCTATTAAAATATTCACCGCATCCTCGGAAAATATTGATAGAAAGTAAATATTCATTTTAATTTACATATGCGCTATTAGACTTCAAGGGATTTAGTTTTGAATTGCATTTCATATAATAATACAACATTTGAAGAAATGTTGGTTCTAATGGCGCTTTGAGAAGACAAGCTTTCAAACTATCGGCCATTTGCGAATTTAGTCAGCAAGGTGCACCTTTCGTTTAATAAGAGAGCACCACCGCGAGGTTGAAAGTACGTCTTAACTCAGAGGCCCATGGATAGATGTCAGCACCACTCATTCGTAAGGCTATTTGTTCAGTTTAAACCTAATTCTAAAAGGGAAGGAAATTTTCTCCAAATCCCTATACCCATGGTATTTCTCAACGATTGGCAGCAGGACTTTTGATTTCAGAGATTTTACGAGGACGTCTATCGCATGTGTTCGTTGGGTCCTAACGGAGCCCAAGATTGAACATTGGTCCCTCATTCTCTCCCCATCTAGGATATCACGGATCGTTGAAGAAATAAACTTTACAAAGCCTATTTTTACAAAAAAAAAGAAAAAAAAATGTACAAAGCCATTGTGAGAAAAGAGCAAGATTATAACAAAATATACAAATAATACAAATATGATTATGAAATTATGATTATACTAGCAAAACGATGATTACCAAAAATGATTATACAAATAAAGCATGTTTCAAACATAAAAAGTATTCTCTTCTTTAAAAAAATAAAAATAAAAAAAAAAAAAAACGAATAGTAAAGTGTTTTTTAAATGAAAAATATGTTGTTTTTTATTTAAAAAATACTTTAACTAAAATAATAAAATAAACAGCACTTTATTTTTCCCTTTTTCAATCAGATTTTTGAAATGAAATCTGATTATTTTTGAATTTTTTTGTAATGATTGAAAGGGGTTGTCGTCTTAATTAATAATCCTGAAAATGAGATGAGCACTCTAGGTAATCTTTATACTTATGTAGAAAATTTTTTTACGCCCTACATTCCACACTTTCAATTATAATCCGCACTTGAGTTCTGAACTAATTTATTAATTAAAAAAATTATTTTTTGCTTTGTCGTTCTTGCTTCGTTTTTACTTGTTATTTTTGAATCACCTCCATACATATAGTGCTGCCATCTAGCATGAAGAAACTGATAAATAATGTTTTATGGATAATAAGACCTTGTAGATTTCTTGGTACATGATTCCAATTATATCCTAATCCCCAATTCAAACTGAAGTTCTGCTGAATTTAAAGCTAAACATAAAATTATTTCTTGTTTTGTCGTCCTTTTTCACTTTCATTTGTTATATTTCGGAATCACCTCTGTCTATGTATAGTGCTGCTATCTAACGGAGCAAAACTTCTCAGGAATATTTTCATGAGAATAATATTTGGTATATTTTCAACTTAATTATAATTAATGGTAAGTTTTAGGAAATCTAGATTCTTTTTTGTATGAATTTCTTATTTGAAACTGAATTGTTATTATTAGATTAATTCATTAGAATAATATACGGCGCAACAGAAAAATTGTTTAATGTATAAACTTTTTCTGGAGCAAATATGAGTTAGTAATGAACATTTTAAATACTCTTGATGAATTTAATTTTTAAGTTATATTGCAAGGTTTTATAACTATCGAGGAATTTCGAAATTAATTATTTCAGAATTTGCTTTTTTTTTTAGTCTGAGAGTGCATTCAATCTTTATTATTTTCTAACTGACGAGTTGATACTATCCAGAAAAATACATAATTCATTATATAATTAAATATATAATTGCATTGTCAAAGTACAATTATATTCATTATTGAGGGGTAATGATTTGTTGGAGTTAATCTTGAATGTAACCAAAAAATCGTAGAAAAAAAAAGGACAAATATTAGTTCTGTTCAAGAAAATTCGTAGTAATTTTGCTATCTACATTTTTGTGATGAAGTGTTTGGATGTTTAAACTCTTTTTTAACACTGTAGAAAATTTATTTATACACTATTTGCATTAAAATACCATAAATAATAAATACATAAATAAAAAGAAACAATTTAATTATGTATTTATATATTAAAATTTTTTGTTCTGTCGTAAGTCCTCGGTAGTATAGTGGTCAGTATCCCCGCCTGTCACGCGGGAGACCGGGGTTCGATTCCCCGCCGGGGAGGACAATATTTTTTTTGTATAACACTTATTATTTGACTTGATATTTTTTTTTTGAGTTATTAATGGCTTTTCAATGGGTTACTGAATTTTTAAGGTTATGAAATTTAAAATGAATTTCGCCTACGAATTAAAATACCTCGTTTGAAAGATGAAACGTCACTACTATTTAGTTGTAATTGAGCGGTATAACAAGAAGCTTACTTAGATCAATTAATAGAAGAAGGGGCGAGGCCGCAAGTGTGGATATTTTTTACAAATTTTTCAAAAACCTTCATTAAATATAATCTTCAACTTGAGGTATTGTTTTTAATAATAATTAGGGTGCTTTATTACATTCTAGTTTATATCTGGACTTAAAATATTGTTTAGTTTTTCAAATTGTTTTTAAAAATTTCTTAAAATGGTTGTTTTTGTCAACATTAGCACAGTGTAGTACACTAGCCCCTCGTCACATTTTAAACTAACATTTAATTTTTATATTTCAGATATACATTATCAGTGGCCCCTAGAAATAAGGAGTTTTGCATTTAGGGGATATGTTTAAATAATCACCTAAAAATGCTAGTGAGGCATTTTTTTCATAAAATATTCTGGAAGAGTTCGTGAATACAGCAAGCCGGTGTTGGAGAACTAGTACATAAAATCTTTATAAAAATAAAGCGATTATCGTTAATTAAAACCAAAATTTTAAAGTCGTTTTAATTGGTGGCAGACAAAGTGTAAATAATTCATAATCGTCAAAATTTTTTTGATGTAACTATAATAAACTTTATTTTACTAGTAATTGGTGTATCAAATATTATATTAAAACAATTTTAAAAATGTGTGTTTTAACCCTTACAGCACCAGAGTCAGTCCGACGAAAGAAATTTTGTTCTGGACTATCAAACAAATGTATAAAATATAAAAATTACCAAAATGATTATATTTTCGTGATTGTTATTGCTAGACCAATAATAAAAACTCAGTAAAAAAATTTGGATCAAATTACGGCACTCTGGGTACCGGTAGTTTTTACCGTAAAATCCATTTTCATATTTCATGAAATGAATATGCTTCAAACAAAAAATCTGATGTACTGTACATTTTACAGTAATAATTTACCTTAAAAGAACAGACTCATTCTAACTAAATATTAGTGTAAAAATTATGGTATAATATTTTACTGTAAAAATTGCTTTTACGGATGATGCACACTAAGTGCCGGTACTTTACTATCGTAATTTGATCCGGAATTTATTACAGTGTAAGCAAAATCAACCACGATTTGAAAGCTAAAATATATTTGTCAAAGTTTAAAGATTTGCAGTGATTAACATAAAACTATTTATGTAATGTGGGAAGCTGGATAGCATTAAAGAAATATTAAAACTTACTTCGCATAAGCAATCAAAGCACTTTTCTGGTATTTGTCCTGCTGGAGCAAAGCCTTGTCCTGAACAATAGAAGAAAACATTAAGCTTGCTGCAAGTATTCTTTGATAGTTTTATATTAAACTACAAGAAAAATTTACAAACACATTTTGTTGAAAAATTGTTCGTATAGTTTAGTTGCACATGAATGAGGTGATTTTAATATTTCTGGGATTGAGAGTTAAATAAAAAGTTTAGCATTCACACAAAAGTCATAAAAGCAAAAATAAAGTTTTTTTTCTCAAATTCTTCAAATTTTAAATTTTTTATTTTTATTTTTAAATGTTTCCTTTTTTTGTTGTTGCTAATTTTGTAACGTCATTTCATTAGCAGGATATTCAAGAGCAAGATATTAAGAAAGTCTTAGATGGGAATTGTATTTAATTTCGATTAAAATGTCAGTAAATGTCATGTGAGTAGTCTAAAGAAGTTACTTTGGTTCAAGGGGTTATTTAGATTTAAAATTTTAAAAATTGTAAAAAATATATGTATATGTATATAAATATATATATAAATATATATAATATATATATATACAAAAGGAGGAACTTTGAAAAAAATTTTTTTTTTTTTAAATTTACTTCCTTTTGCTTTGTGAATTGGTTAAAATTCCTTTTGAGCGTTGAAATTTTATTTACTATATTTTTATTATCGAGCACAAAAAAGGGCTTCGAAATAAATAAATAAATAAAGAATAAAATAAATAGAAAATAAAATAAATAAAAAATAAAATAAATAAAAAGGGTGAAATCTTAAAAATATAAGTGATTTTTTTACTTACTTACTATCATTAATATCTGTTAGGTAATAAATATCATCGCTAATAAATATCAGAAATTATCATTCTCATTATCATTAATATTAATTAAGATTATAAATATCATCACTACATAAATTCGGCATTTTACGGTAAACGTTCTGTTACCAAATGTTTTAAAGCTTTAATAAACTTTTAAATTTTAAGTAAAGCAATCTTAAGGAAATATTTTTTCTGCTAGTTTATGTTTCAAATATGTAAATAATTTATAATTGAATTTTTATTAACGAATATGCGCGTTTAATCACGAAAAATAGCTTCAAAAATTATAATCAAATAAATAAATAAAAAGTCTAAAATCTTAAATTCATAGGTGATTGTTTTTAGTTATTATTATCAATAATATTCGTTGAATCCTAAAATAACAGAATTTAAATATCTTCACTATATAAATGAGATATTTCATTTTAAGCGTTTTTAGTTACCTATTGTTTTAACGAACTTTAATTTTACGTAGAACAATCGTAAGAAAATCTTCATTTCCCCTGCTAGTTTATGTTTTAAAATATAAATAATTAAAAGAAACATACCGTGCGATAGGCTAAAGCATATCTTTACAATCAATTGTTTTTACTTATTACAATCAATAATACTAGTTAAATCCTAAAATAACAGAATATAAATATCTTCACAATATAAATGAGACATTTCATGGTAAGCGTTTTTAGTTACCTATTTTTTAACGAAATTTAATTTCACATAAAACAATCTTTAGAAAATCTCCCCCCCCCCCNTTTTTTCCCCTTCTAGTTTATGTTTTAAAATATAAATAATTGAAAGAAACATACCGTGCAATAGGCTAATGCAGATCGTTACAATCAATGCAACATGCAATGTTTTTACTTATTATAATCATTAATATTTGTTAAATCCTAAAATAACAGAATATAAATATCTTCACTATATAAATGAGACACTTCATGGTAAGCGTTTTTAGTTACCTATTGTTTTAACGAACTTTAATTTTACGTAAAACAAACTTAAGAAAATCTTTTTTCCCCTTCTAGTTTATGTTTTAAAATATAAATAATTGAAAGAAACATACCGTGCAATAGGCTAATGCAGATTGTTACAATCAATGCAACAGTTACTATAGTTTGTAACGACATTTTTATTGATGTAAAACAATACGTAATCTTAAATTTTCCTTATATACCTGACCGGTTTATTCCCATATTTTTTTGTGTCACGCTTTATTTCTAGAGATTCATCACACCTTTGACGTAACCTTGACCACTGTGGTTTCCATCACAAAGAACGGGTCTGATTCTTATGCAGAAATCCAAAGAAAACAGAAAAATAATAAGTTTATGTAAATATTGCATAAAGTTGGTATTTCACACGAGGAAGTTGAAATTTGACATTTAAGTCTGCTTGTTCTAAAGTCAGTCATTAATATGCATGTTTCATAATATTATTGAATGCTTGATAATTTTTTAATTGTTATTGCTGTAGTGAACAGGATAACGATAACTAAGAGCAGGATAATAATATCTATAATAATAAAAGGAATAGTTTTGCCTGTGATTTTTCTTGGAGTTTCGGAATCATCCGTGCTAGCGTTCTGAAATTTGAACTGAGGGTCAATTTTAGCTGCAGACGCTTTAAACTAATCTGGAGAACAGACTTTCTTTTAAATTATTTAACAGAAAATATAATTTTTGGTTGCTAGCCTACACTTACAGCTCTATTGAATCAAGAGCGGAGTTTATTGCGCACTCCAAATAATTATCTATTTTTGATTCATTATTTCAGATTCAGCAAAATGAAAGTGGTATGACGGTATGAATTAATATTTTGAAAACTATCTGAAACAGAGCGGTTATTATTATTATCAGAGTCAAACCACGCTATAGTGAACACAGTTTATAGTGAACTCCCGGATATAGTGAACGAAATGTTTGCTATAAGCGCATAATGTTATTTTTTGTGGATATAGTGAACCAAAAAAGTGAGGAAGTTGGATATAATGAACTTTTTTCTGTCTTTGACTGATTTTTCTTCTTCATTTTTTTGTAATAATTTTGAAATTTCTACTTCAAAATAAATACATATACTGATTTTTAAAATAATCAAAAGAGGGGAATGTAGCGAAAAGCATTTTTTCTTGTTTGCTTCTTTTATCTCACTTTCCCATCCCTAAGCAAACCAAGCAGATGATGGTGCAGATGGGACTTTTGAATTTAACAAACCTGAATTGCGTTAGACGGAGAGGAAAACCACGAAAACCTTCCACGGTTAGCCTCACTGCCCATGATCTCTAACCCATGATCTTTTTACCACTGAGAATATTTTACTTCGAGGATATTTGCACTGTGGTTGGTGCGAGTCGGGTGCGGAATTCTTATCCACCATTTTTGATGGGATTCGAACCCGGTTCACTTCAAGGGAAAGCGAATGCTCCATCCCCATAGCCACCACTGCACAGTAATTAAGACTTAACTGATTTGTTATTTGTCCTTGACTGATGTGAGTGCACAAACATATAGTTCTATGATTATCTAGCTACTTTTAGTGCCCAACATCTCGTTATTANACAGTTACTATAGTTTGTAACGACATTTTTATTGATGTAAAACAATACGTAATCTTAAATTTTCCTTATATACCTGACCGGTTTATTCCCATATTTTTTTGTGTCACGCTTTATTTCTAGAGATTCATCACACCTTTGACGTAACCTTGACCACTGTGGTTTCCATCACAAAGAACGGGTCTGATTCTTATGCAGAAATCCAAAGAAAACAGAAAAATAATAAGTTTATGTAAATATTGCATAAAGTTGGTATTTCACACGAGGAAGTTGAAATTTGACATTTAAGTCTGCTTGTTCTAAAGTCAGTCATTAATATGTATGTTTCACAATATTATTGAATGTTTGATAATTTTTTAATTGTTATTTCTGTAGTGAACAGGATAACGATAACTAAGAGCAGGATAATAATATCTATAATAATAAAAGGAATAGTTTTGCCTGTGATTTTTCTTGGAGTTTCGGAATCATCCGTGCTAGCGTTCTGAAATTTGAACTGAGGGTCAATTTTAGCTGCAGACGCTTTAAACTAATCTGGAGAACAGACTTTCTTTTAAATTATTTAACAGAAAATATAATTTTTGGTTGCTAGCCTACACTTACAACTCTATTGAATCAAGAACGAAATTTATTGCACATTCATCTATAATTATCTATTTTTGATTCATTATTTCAGATTCAGCAAAATAAAAGTGGTATGACGGTATGAATTAATATTTTGAAAACTATCTGCAACAGAGCGGTTATTATTATTATCAGAGTCAAACCTCGCTATAGTGAACTCCCGGATATAGTGAACGAAATGTTCGGTACCGTGCCTTGGTATACACGTATAATGTTATTTTTTGTGGATATAGTGAACTAAAAAAGTGAGGAAGTTGGATATAATGAACTTTTTTCTATCTTCGACTGATTTTTCTTCTCCTTTTTTTTGTAATAATTTTGAAATTTCTACTTCAAAATAAATACACCGATTTTTAAAACCATCTATTGAGAGGAATGTAGCGATAAGCATTTTTTCCTGTTTGCTTCTTTTATCTCACTTTCCCATCCCCAAGCAGATGATGGTGCAGATGGGACTTTTGAATTTAGCAAACATGCATTGCATTAGACGGAGAGGAAAACCACGAAAACCTCCCACGGTTAGCCTCACTGCAAGGGGACTCTAACCCATGATCTTTTTACCACTGAGAATATTTTCTGAGGTCAGCACTGTGGTTGGTGCGAGTAGGGTGCGGAATTCTTATCAGCCATTCTTGACAGGATTCGAACCCGGTTCACTTCATTGGAAGGCGAATGCTCCATCCTCTGAACCACCACTGCTCAGGGATAATAATTAAGACTTAACTGATTTGTTATTTGTCCTTGACTGATGTGAGTGCACAAACATATAGTTCTATGATTATCTAGCTACTTTTAGTGCCCAACATCTCGTTATTAAAAATTTAGATTACTTTTGTAAGTCTCACGATACTTTCATTTAAAAGATTGTATTCAGTTAGGGAGCTGAAAGTAATGTATAATTGTATGCAGTTAGCACTGTAAGCATAATGCAATTGTATTGAATGTAATTGTATGCAGTTAGAATTGTATGCATAATGCAATTGTATTGAATGTAATTGTATGCAGTTAAAGAACTAAAAATTCGTGTTTAAAAAAGGATGTAGAATATTAATTATTATTAATATTTGGCCACAAAAAAGTTTCACTATTGGGGCTTAATAGTTTTAAACGTCTTGAAATTGAAAAGCCTGTGGCGTAACTACCGCTATTAAAAATTTAGATTACTTTTGTAAGTCTCACGATACTTTCATTTAAAAGATTGTATGCAGTTAGAGAACTAAAAGTAATGTATAATTGTATGCAGTTAGAATTGTATGCATAATGCAATTGTATGCAGTTAAAGAACTAAAAATTAGTGTTTAAGAAAGGATGTAGAATATTAATTATTATTAATATTTGGCCACAAAAAAGTTTCACTATTGGGGCTTAATAGTTTTAAACGTCTTGAAATTGAAAAGCCTGTGGCGTAACTACCGCTATTAAAAATTTAGATTACTTTTGTAAGTCTCACGATACTTTCATTTAAAAGATTGTATGCAGTTAGAGAACTAAAAGTAATGTATAATTGTATGCAGTTAGCACTGTATGCATAATGCAATTGTATTGAATGTAATTGTATGCAGTTAAAGAACTAAAAATTAGTGTTTAGAAAAGGATGTAGAATAATAATTATTATTAATATTTGGCCACATAAAATTTTCACTATTAAGGCTTAATAATCTTAAACGTCTTGAAATTGAAAAGCCTGTGGCGTAACTACCCCTACGAATATTAAACATAAATTCAGCGGTTCAGACATGCTAACTTGATTCAATCATGAGGTACCTTCATCTATCAAAAGGTACCTCATGATTGAATCAAGTTAGCATGTCTTATATACCATTGAATTGATGTTTAATATCCGTAGTGGTAGTTACGCCACAATACTCCCCTACCAGAATTTTATCAGGGATAGAATTCGATGAACGGATCTCACTAGTTGCTGTACTTGTGAATGACCGGGAGAGAGAGTAACCGGGTTTTTGAGTGCTGAATGTGAGAGGTGTATTAACTTCACAGTCGCTCCTGTGTTGCCATTAGCAGTCAAGTGTACGCAGGCAGACGTTGTGTTTAATTGAGACGAGACTGAGTAGCAACAGCGTGAGGAGGTGGATAATGTTGCAGTCACAAGTAGCAAGTCAACTGGTCAATGTGGATCATCCAACGAAGTAGGTGTTACTGTCAAGATTATTGCGAAGTGGGCGTTACTGCGTGTTCAAATAATGTCCGGGTCACCAATGTGGGGGCGGAGTTATCGATCATGCCATCCTTCATCTATCAAAAAGTTCCTCATGATTGAATCAAGTTAGCATGTCTTATATACTAGTGAATTGATGTTTAATATTCGTAGTGGTAGTTTCGCCACAAGCCCTTTGGACGAATAAAAATAAGCACATTTATGTTACTCCTTTTTTCTTCTTCATACTGTACATTCATTAAAGACCAAGAGAAAAATTAATAAATATTTTATTTACAGTTGTTGATACAATTATTTACTTGAGAAGCATACATTTTGACATTTTTTTTAAATCTGAAGGCAAACAAGCTTTTTTTGAAATAATAAACATATTTAACACAAGAATATTTAATAATAGATAGCATAATAGAGTTACTGTATAAAAATAATCCGGTTAGCATTAAAATTATAGAGAAAGAACAGTAAATTTTAAGGTTATAGAAAAATTACCAAACGGTTAGGCAAATTACTTTCAGTTGCAACTATAATATAAATTAAAAGATTACAATGTTGAAAACAACTGTTTTTAACATTAATAATTTACAGCATTTTTTTTTTTTATAAAAAACAAAGGTTATAATAAAAAATTTTAAATTTTATAGAAATTTTGCACTGCTAAATGCATTTCTTTCTAAATTTAGTTTATGTTCTAAAACTTGTACACTGTGTTAAATCAACTCTGTACAACAATAAAGGTAAACAGAATTTATGATTTTTTAAAAATAATTTTTGTACATAAAATTTTTTTTTCGCTTACAAAGATATAAAAAAAAGAAAAATGAAGGAAGAAAAAAATTACGATAGCAATGTCTTTGATACGCGATCTTTTAT